CAGTGTTTCATCCATTGGGTATTCTGCCCAGACAAATCGATGATCTCCTTTCTCCACTAAAATATAATCTCCTTTCAGAGAGGGCTCTCTTTTCTATTGCATCTAGGAAAAATGTATTTACGTAAATACAGATGAATGAGTGTTGAATAAATTAATGAATGTATTTTAGACTGTTATTTTATCATTTCTGCCTATCTTCTAAGGCTCATGTGAAGGGATCTCATTGGTAAATCCTAATTTACATTCAGCATAGTAATTTGAAGGAGTCTGTAAAATCAAGTTTTAATCTTTCCAGGCCTGGAATTAAAAAAAAAAGAAAAAGTTCATAAAAGGAAGTAGAAATAGAAGACAGACACTATAGGGAAGGGACCCTGGCTGGTGTGGTTCAGTGGACTGAGTGCTGGCCTGTGAACCAAAGGGTTGCCTGTTTAATTCCCAGTTAGGGCACATGACTGGGTTGTGGGCCAGGTCCCCAGTAGGGGGCGCTCGAGAGGCAACAAAAATTGATGTTTCTTCCCTTTTCTTTTCTTTCCCTTCCCCTCTCTAAAAATAATACATAAATAAAATCTTTTTTAAAAAGACAAAATAAGGAAGCACCATTTGTTCAAATGGTCTTGTCTCAGCAATTGAATTCATTACTTTATTGCTTTGGGGGCTAAGCGCTCATTAAAAAAAAGAAATTATTGTAGTTACAAAACACACTACCAATATGAAGAAATAAAATCATATGCTCTGCTAATAACCAATTAAATCAGATAATTTATTTGACCCTATCTGCTTCTAAAGGGCAATGGGAGCTACAGGTATGGTCTGAGTGGGTATGATATACACTACTCATTTTACTAAAATATGTCTCTTCCCTTTATTTATTGCTAATAGATTTCTACTTTTTTTAGTTGTCCATGTTGATATGTGGGCTGTAGATTGTATTTCACAACCCGCTATTGTGGCTGGGAGCGGTCTTGTAATTAAGTTACAGCCAGAGAGATATAAGCACTAGTGCCATGGCATACTTCATGAAAGTAGTCTTTTTTTAAAAAAGATTTTATTTATTTATTTCTAGAGAGAGGGGAAAGGAGGGAGAGAGGGAGAGTAATATCAATGTGTGGTTGCCTCCTCTGTGCCCCTAACTAGGGACCTGGCCTGCAACCCAGGCACGTGCCCTGACTGGAAATCGAACCCACAACCCTTTGGTTTGCAGACCAGCACTCAGTCCACTGAGCCACACCAGCTAGGGCATGAAAGTAGTGTTTAAAAAAAGAAGGCACAGCCTTTTCTTTCTCCTGTTTGTTAGTCTGAATGGAAATGTAATGGCTGGATATTAGACAGCTGTCTTGGACTAGGAGGTGAAGTCCATGCCCTGAAGATAGTAGAGCAACAACATGGAACAAGGCTGGGTCCAAGACAACATGGACTACATTTTAGCCACTAGCCTTCTTTTATGAGAGAAAAATGAAATTCTGTTTTGTGTAAGCTATTGCTGTTATGGGTTTGTCTACAGTTTCTGGTTGAAATTATATAGAACATATATATTATATTACATCAAATACAATTACATTCTATAACATCTAGAATATATAATTCTAGATGATATAGTAAGCTTTTAATGAAGTGACATTTAAGCTAAGAACTAAAGAATGAGTAGAGAAAATTGTGAGTCTTGTATGCATATCTTAGAAATCAAGGTTTATTGAGAACAAGCAAAGCAAACAACTAAAGATTTAAGGAAAAACACCTGTTAGTATCATCAGGCAAGAAAAGAAGTTATTGCATCTAAAAAATAAGTACAGAAAGAGGGCTCTTGGAAAGTATGCAATAACAAATGAAAATCTCAATAGAAGGGATTGAAGATAGCATTAACATCCCAAGTGATACTGTAAAAATATTTTAAAATGGTAAATGAGAGAAAGAACCAGAAAAGTAGAAAAATTAAAGCCCATATCGTGGTCCAACATCTGAATTGTAGTAATTACCAAAAAAAAAGCAAGAAAAAAAATTCAGTGAAGTAATTCATGAAAAATTTCTAAGAGGTGGAGGAAATTAGTTTCCTAGTCAAAGGGCTTTACCAGTTATTCTGTGCAATGTATGAAAATAAGCTCAAAGCAAGACACATTAGTGTTAAATTTAAAATGCTTGAGACAATGACAACAAACTAAAACAAGAAATAAAAATACAGCTGACATATAAAGATATAAAATAAGATTCACTTTAGACTTCCTTTTTACATTTTTTAAAAAAGATTTTATTTGTTTTTAGAAAGAGTAGCAGGGAGGGAGAAAGAGAGGGAGGGAAATATCAATGTGTGGTTGCCTCTCATGTGCCCCCTCACCAGGACACGTGCCCAAACTGGGAATAGAGCTAACGACCCTTTGGTTCACAGGCTGGCACTCAATCCACCGAGCCACACAAGCCAGGGCTCACTTTAGACTTCTTAACAAACACATTGGTTTAGGGAGCTCATTGACAAAATATTTAAACTACTGAAGAAAATTTATTTCCTACCTAAAACCCTATAACCAGTCATACTTCCAATCAAGTTTGAGGGTAAAATAAAAATAATGTAATACATACAAGGTCACAACATAATTTAACTGATATACCATTATCTGGAAACTACTTGAAGATATTAAAATGAGAGAGTGATCTAAGAGAGAATAAGTCTGAAGAAATAGGAAAAAAGGAGATCCAAAACAACAGAGGTGAAATGAACCTCCAGATGATGTTGAAGGATGACCCTAGGATAATGGTTGTATCTCAAATATAGACTAGGTAAGTTTGGAGCTGTATGAGACAGGCATTTTGAAGAATATCATCATCACATCTCCCGGTATATATCAAGTGGATAAAACTATTGAATGATGTGATCTATTAAAGCCACAGAGAAAACAAAAGAGAAGAAATATAATGCTAGAAAAACAAGATTCAAGCAGAATAAAAGGCAAAGACAATTCCAAGAATGACAACAAAAGAAAGTTCCAGAGTGATAGCTATGCAACAGCTTTAGATATCACCCTCCTAATTTAAGAGGAAATTGATATCTCAGGAGATATAGTACTGAGAGGCAAGAGGAAATGTGGGAAGAATAGGTAGTATATATAAGAAAACCAAGTAAAGGAAAAAGCAAAGAAATTATTAACTTCAAGAAAAAAAGTGAGAAAAATATAATTAGTACACAACAATGTTCTCAATGATACTGAGAGTGAAAGAAGGTATTAAGATCCTTGAAAGTGTACAAGAGCTAAAGATAAATTTAACATAATAAAGAGCCAACTGATAATGTCTAATATGAATTAATCAAAATACAGCAGAATACAGACTAATGGCAGGAGAACTAACTAAAAGGATTTTAAATGGCTGCCTATTGGAAAGGAAACTAGGAAACTGAGGAGGGAACGAGAAGAAAATTATTGTATTTTATTATAAGCCTCTTAGTATTATTTGATTTTGAACCAAAGTTACATATTTTTAAATGTGTTTTAAAAAATAAATAAAATACAGATCTTGCCAATCTTCAAAGAATAAAAAAGAGATAAAATACTAAACATTACTAATAAGAATAGGGATATAGCTAAAGATATATAATATAATGAAAACATAATATATTTGTTATATGGTTTTTAAATGAATGGTTTTTTAAAATAAAATACAAATAACTCTCTAAGAAAACAAAACCTGTAGAGATTAACAACCAAAGTAAAATGGAAAAGTGTCACAGATTCTTGAGCAAAACCACCAAACCCAACTCATTTAAAAGGCAAATTGTAATTAAGCATGTAGAAACAGAAGATGTAAACATAAAAGTTATACTGTTGTATAGGAATAGATGAAAATCTTCCAAACCCATTCTATGAGGCAGGATAGTTTAACAGCAAGACCATAGACATTAAACACACACATGTGCCTACACAGAACAACATAGGCAAGAAAAACACTAAAACAATGTTGACACATCAAATCCCTCTTTGCATTAAGGCAATGATATGTCATAGTTAACTGTCATTATGTCAAGAACTCAAGAATTAAAAAGCTAAAGAATAAAGGTACAATCTCAACACATGTCAAAATTACTTTAAAATATGAAAGAATAAAGAAAAAGAAGAAAACTTTCTTGATCCAAAAGAGCATTTACCCCAAATTGAAGCATTTATCCCAAATCAAGATCAATCATCATAGCTAAAATTGAAATACTAGGAGCAGTTCCACAAAGCTAAGAATGATCTAGTTGCTATTGTTAATTCTAAGAGCATTCATAGCATATGCTTGGAGATGCTGGCCATTGAAATTATGTTAACAATAATTTAAGTTATATTATTGCTTAAAGTGGGTGAAGGGTGAAGGCTGGGGCACAGAACATGTTCCAGAAAATATGGTTAAAGAGTGAACAACTTGAAACCAAAAGGATTATTTAATTCACAAGAAACTGAAAAAGGCAGCATGAACAACATTATTGTGAGGCAGTTAACAAATAGAGGTTGACTTCTTCATGAAGGCTTCATTTTCTTATGTAGTCTTTACTATCAGTTTTAAAAGCAGGAGGTTTTCTTAGATTTTACTCCTGATGGAGATTCAGAGTTTAATGTCATGCCCCTAGATTAAGGAAAACAACATTTATTTTTCTATGAATTCAGATTATAGGAGCGGAGGGCGATATAAGCACTCACTAGCACTACTATGGCCATTTGAGGAAAAAGATGAAGTGAAGCAGCAAAGACCCTGGGGGACTTAAAACCACTCCAGGTGCTGTTCTGTTAATCGGCCATCTTTTTGTTCTATTCTTGAAAACGAGAATAACATCCACGAAACGCAAGGTGGCGCTGCTGCCTAAAAAGAAGGGGGAAAATAACTCGCACAAAGGACGTTGCAGGTTGCAGTGTTAGAAAATCTGGCGAGTCAGAAAGGTAGAGGAAAGGAAACTGTGGTAATAGGAGCTGTGGAAAAGTGGGGCTCCCTCCCCACAAGCGTTGCTGTTATAAGCTCATTTCTAAGAATTAGGTTGCTGCCATTTCGGAAAGCTGCTTGGGGCCGAGTGAAAGTGGTGTTGAAAGGCTGATTAAAGGAAGAATGGAGGCCAGAGTGCAGAGTGCGGTGCAGAAAAGGCAAGTCCTACTTCTTTGTGTATTTCTGGGAGTGTCTTGGGCTGGCGCGGAACCGCTTCAGTATTTTGTGGCTGAGGAAACCGAGAGAGGCGCCTTTTTGGCCAACCTCGCCAATGACCTGAAGTTGGGGGCGGGTGAACTGTCAGCTCGGGGATCTAGAATCGTTTCAGATCAGAACGTAGGATTTTTACTACTCAATCCGCTTACTGGTGACTTACTGCTCAATGAGAAATTAGACCGAGAGGAACTGTGCGGCCCCACAGAGCCCTGCGTGCTGCCTTTCCAGCTGCTACTGGAAAAGCCTTTTCAGATTTTCCGTGCTGAATTATGGGTCAAAGACATCAATGACCATTCTCCAGTGTTTCTAGATAGAGAGATTCCCTTGAAAATATTAGAAAGCACCACTCCAGGGGCGGCCTTTCTCCTAGAAAGGGCACAGGATCCAGATGTTGGAACCAACAACTTGAGGAACTACACCATCAGCGCCAATTCCTATTTCCATATTAATGTGCGTGACAGTGGGGAGGGCAATGTCTATCCCGAACTAGTACTGGATCGCGTGCTAGACCGTGAAGAGGTGCCTGAGCTCAGTTTAACCCTTACCGCCTTGGATGGCGGCTCTCCGCCCCGATCTGGGACTGCCCTGGTACACATCCTAGTTGTTGACATAAACGACAACGCCCCTGAGTTTGTACAGTCGCTCTACAAGGTGCAGGTGCCTGAGAACAGCCCCGTAGGCTCCCTGGTTGCCACCGTGTCAGCTAGAGATTTAGACACCGGAAGTAATGGAGAAATAGTTTATGCATTTTTTTATGCCACTGAAAGAATTCTCAAAACGTTTCAAATCAATTCAACATCTGGCAATCTTCATCTTAAAAACGAATTAAACTACGAGGAAATGCAAACTTACACATTAACCATTCAGGCCAAGGACGGCGGAGGGCTTTCTGGAAAATGCACGGTGATGGTTCACGTAACAGATATAAATGATAATTCACCGGAACTGCTCATGTCATCACTTCTTACCTCAATTGCAGAAAACTCAGCAGAGACTATCGTAGCTGTTTTTAGGATTAGAGACAAAGATTCAGGTAACAATGCAAAGATGGTGTGCTCCATCCAAGATGGCCTCCCCTTCCTCCTGAAGCCATCAGTGGAGAATTTCTACACCCTGGTGACAGAGACACCGCTGGACAGAGAGACCACAGCGGAGTACAACATCACCATCACCGTCACCGACATGGGGACCCCCAGGCTGAAAACCCAGCACAACATCACCGTGCAGGTGTCCGACGTCAACGACAACGCCCCCGCCTTCACCCAGACCGCCTACACCCTCTTCGTCCGCGAGAACAACAGCCCCGCCCTGCACATAGGCAGCGTCAGCGCCTCCGACAGAGACGCGGGCGCCAACGCCCAGGTCGCCTACTCGCTGCTGCCGCCCCGCGACCCCGGCCTGCCCCTGGCCTCGCTCGTGTCCATCAACGCGGACAACGGGCAGCTGTTCGCCCTGAGGGCGCTGGACTACGAGGCCCTGCAGGCGTTCGAGTTCGGCGTGGGCGCCACGGACCGCGGGTCGCCGGCGCTGAGCAGCCAGGCGCTGGTGCGCGTGCAGGTGCTGGACGCCAACGACAACGCGCCCTTCGTGCTGTACCCGCTGCAGAACGGCTCCGCGCCCTGCACCGAGCTGGTGCCCCGCGCGGCCGAGCCGGGCTACGTGGTGAGCAAGGTGGTGGCGGTGGACGGCGACTCGGGCCAGAACGCCTGGCTGTCGTACCAGCTGCTCAAGGCCACGGAGCCCGGGCTGTTCGGCGTGTGGGCGCACAACGGCGAGGTGCGCACGGCGCGGCCGCTGGGCGAGCGCGACGCGGCCCGGCACCGGCTGCTCGTGCTGGTCAAGGACAACGGCGAGCCGCCGCTGTCGGCCAGCGTCACGCTGCACGTGCTGCTGGTGGACGGCTTCTCGCAGCCCTTCCTGCCGCTGCCCGAGGCGGCGGCCGACGCGGCGCGGGCCGACCCGCTCACCGTCTACCTGGTCGTGGCGCTGGCGTCGGTGTCGTCGCTCTTCCTGTTCTCGGTGCTGGCGTTCGTGGCGGTGCGGCTGTGCAGGAGGCGCAGGGCCGGCTTGGCGGGTGGCTGCTCGGTCCCCGAGGGCCGCTTCCCGGGCCACCTGGTGGACATCACCGGTACTGGAACCCTGTCCCAGAGCTACCAGTATGAGGTGTGTCTGATGGGAAACTCGGGGACCAGCGAGTTCAAGTTCCTGAAGCCGATTATTTCTAATGTGCAGTCCCAGAGCACAGGGAGGGAAGCGGGAGAATATCCTGCATTTCAAAATGATTTGGGTTTCTGATAAAGAACGAAAAATAAATGGGAGTATTGTGTCTGTTTATACGTTCATAAGAAATGCATCCTGTTTCGTATTGAGGAGTGCTTTTCATTATTTCAGGTATTCTTGAAGCCACTGAATAAATTTACAGAGAAATGGATCCAGCTTTAGCCCTAAGAAACCTCCACAAAGCATGGAATATGTGTGTCTATTTTATCTCTAGCAATTAATGCATCGTGCTCAGTCTAGTATGTAACAAATCTTGTTTGAGATGTTGTAAGTTAATTTTCACCATCTTTAAACTATACTTCTTTTTTATTTTCTTGTTTGATTTCAGTGCTGTAGATATATACCTACCCTAAGTTTTAGAAGCACAGATTATACAGTATCTTTTAAAGATTTTTACAAAGTACTTACTGTACATCATACACTATTTTAACACTTTTAATCTTAGAAGTAAATCTATGAGGAGAGGTATTGTTGAAATGAGCAAATAGATATTCAAAGAAGTTCAGTAAATTCATTAAGATCACATACTACATGAAAGAACTAAGTATCTTTTCTAAATCTGCTGCTGGGATTATTGCTATGATGCTATACTCTTTTTCTGTCATTAGATATCACACTGCAAGTTTCTCCATAATTAAAGAAAAGCAACATTTTCCTCATTTATTTCCTGTTCAGTCTTTTCTGCATTTGGAAATAATAATGTATTTATTGGCCTGATTTATTTTCTTATAAGTTAATAGTCCAGCTTTTCTGAATTAATTATTTAACTATTATTATTAAAGCTCTGATCTAACCAAATCTCAAGCTTAAAAAAATGGAAAGATCAATTTGTGTTTTTTTCCTTGTCTCAACATATGACCTTCATTTCCCAGAAAAGATTAATGGCCCTGAATAGAAATATCACATAATTTTGATTTCTTAATTAGTTTATTAATTTCCTCACATTGTAGTAATGTTTTTATAGTAGTCCTTACCTACATTTTTCCTCCTTTAATTGAAAATTTTAATTTTAAAGCTTCTTATATACTGCAGTGTTGAATTGGGAAAGTATAAGAAAAAGAATAGCTTTAAATATGTAATATTAAAAATAAACAAATTACAAGTAAATTACTTAGAGATGCTGGAGAGTTGAGAAGAAGCTTTGTTTGTTATAATAATCTGTAACTACTTTTTCTTAAACATTATCCAGATAATATTTGCATAGCTGTATTGAAGATATTGTAAATTACTGTTGGTAACTTTTAAAATAGTACTATTACTCTGCATTACTAATCGGATCTAATCTAAGGGCAAAAAAAAAATCCCTCACTGCAGTAAAATTTTAAGTTGTTTTCATAGTGTCAGGATAAAATTATCTATTTTTTTTAACATATCCATGGCATGGTAAAGGGGAGGAGGGAATTTTCCACAACAACAAAAAAAAAGAGTAATGTTGGTGAATCTTGTTTTAAACAACTGGGAAAGAATTGGAGAAAAATTGAATATAGATGCATATTAAATAATATTAACCTAATTTCTTAGGTATGATATAGCATTGTAATTTTTTAGCTCATTAAAAATTAGAGGTGTGTAATGAAATATTTATAGTTGAAAACTTAGTTTGCTTGGGATATGAAGATGTTAGGGACAGAAACAATTTTGGAAAAATATTTATAATTGTTGAAGCTAGCCATGAGTTTCTGTGGGTTCATCATACTATTATTCTTAGTGGGGTTTGAAATTTTTCAAAATAAAAGTTTTTTTTAATTGACACTGTAAGAAGAGGAGTTAACAAAAACAGACGATCCTTCTGAATACAGAATCTCCGCTGCTATCACAGATTATACCTCTATTAGAAAAACTCTCCAGCCTTTCCTTGTGTCATGATTTAACATGATAACTTCTGAGCTAATCCTGCTCATGTATTCTTCTACCATATGAATATTGGTTGTTTTTCTAGTCATGGCAATGGATTCATGCAAACTCAGTTACCTGGTGGCATCAAATTACATGCCTGGTTTATGTGTGTGTCTATAAAGTTAATCTGTCTCTGCCTCAGCTTCCTCATTTGTATGGGGGGAACTCACAGCAGCCCTGTGTAGTAGGTACTATTATAATCTCCAACTTACAGATGAGAAAACTAAGGCAGAGTTTACATATTTTTTCCAAGGTTCATAGAGAGCTGCTAATCATTCCCATAGTCCATGGCAATAAAAGTATATTCTGAAAGTTTCTATGTTACTCCAACTATATATTTAATTTTTTTCTACATATATTTCTTCTCAGCCAGGCTGTTACATCAATATTTTCTTTTTGTTCCAAACTCAGCATTATTAAAGGTAAAAAGTTCCTACTAATGTCATTTCTCTTGTGTGGTCCTCAGACTATTGTCTGCACTGTAAGGTCCAGCGATAGTAAAGTTAGTGTTGTAACCACTACAATACAGGCAAGGTTAGAAATAGCGCATCCATTTTCATCCCAGAAAATATAAGATCCTGTGAGGACGCGTGGTGGCGCTGCAGGATAAGGAGGTGCAAACCGGAACCGCAACTGCGGCTCCAACAGGCAAAACTCACCAGCAGAGCCTGGAAACCCTCGGGAAACAAGGGTGTCACAGAAGGACTGGGTCCTCTAAAAAGGACTACTCGCTGGAATATTTCTGAAGTATCCTGCGCAATTATCAGTCTCAGGTACTGAGTTCTTCATAGCTCAGCGGACCCAGCCTTGCCAGAGGCTGCACCAAACAAGAACAATGGAGGCCAGGAGGAAGCTCATTCGCAGACAAAGGCAAGTCCTCTTCTTCTTTCTCTTCATGGGCTTATCTCAGGCGGGCGCTGAATTTAGGCGCTATTCTGTAGTGGAGGAAACTGAGGGAAGCTCTTTTGTAACCAATTTATCGAAAGACCTGGGTCTGGGGCAGAAGGAACTCTCCAGGCGGGGGGCTAGGGTCATTTCCAAAGGGAACAAACTGCATTTGCAGCTGGATCAGGCGACTGGGGATTTGTTGCTAAATGAGAAACTGGACCGCGAGGAACTGTGCGGTCACACAGAACCCTGTGTGTTGCGTTTCCAGGTGTTGCTAGCAAATCCCTTAGAGTTTTTTCAAGCTGAGCTACAAGTAATAGACATAAATGACCATGCTCCGGTATTCGTGGAAAGCGATATGGCGCTAAAAATATCAGAGAGCAGCCCTCCTGGGACCGCATTTCCCCTGAAGAATGCTCAGGACTTAGATGTAGGCCAAAATAATATTAAGAACTATATACTCAGTCCAAACTCTTATTTTCGAGTCCTCACCCTTGAACGCAGCGATGGCAAGAAATATCCCCAGCTGGTGCTGGACAAAGCCCTGGATCGTGAGGAGGAACCTGAGCTCAAGTTAACCCTCACAGCGCTGGATGGTGGCTCACCACCCCAGTCTGGCACCGCTCAGGTCTACATTGAAGTCGTGGACATCAACGACAATGCCCCTGAATTTGAGCAGCCCTTCTATAGGGTACAGATCCCTGAGGACAGTCCCATAGGCTTCCTGGTTGTCAAGGTCTCTGCTACGGATGTAGACATAGGAGTCAATGGGGAGATTTCCTATTCACTTTTCCAGGCTTCAGAAGAGATTAGCAAAACCTTTGAGCTCAGCCCCCTGACAGGAGACATTAGACTGAAAAAACAACTTGATTTCGAAGCAGTTCAGTCCTATGAGATCAATATTGAGGCCAAAGATGCTGGAAGCTTGTCTGGAAAATGCACTGTTCTGACTCAAGTTGTGGATGTGAACGACAATGCCCCAGAAGTGACCATGTCCGCACTTACCAGACAGATCCCTGAGAATTCGCCTCAGACTGTGGTTGCAGTTTTCAGTGTTTCAGATCTTGATTCGAAAGAAAACGGAAAAGTAAATTGTTCTATTCAGGACGATCTACCTTTTTTCCTAAAATCTTCCTTGGAAAACTTCTACACCCTGGTGACAGAGACACCGCTGGACAGAGAGACCACAGCGGAGTACAACATCACCATCACCGTCACCGACATGGGGACCCCCAGGCTGAAAACCCAGCACAACATCACCGTGCAGGTGTCCGACGTCAACGACAACGCCCCCGCCTTCACCCAGACCGCCTACACCCTCTTCGTCCGCGAGAACAACAGCCCCGCCCTGCACATAGGCAGCGTCAGCGCCTCGGACAGAGACGCGGGCGCCAACGCCCAGGTCGCCTACTCGCTGCTGCCGCCCCGCGACCCCAGCCTGCCCCTGGCCTCGCTCGTGTCCATCAACGCGGACAACGGGCAGCTGTTCGCCCTGAGGGCGCTGGACTACGAGGCCCTGCAGGCGTTCGAGTTCGGCGTGGGCGCCACGGACCGCGGGTCGCCGGCGCTGAGCAGCCAGGCGCTGGTGCGCGTGCAGGTGCTGGACGCCAACGACAACGCGCCCTTCGTGCTGTACCCGCTGCAGAACGGCTCCGCGCCCTGCACCGAGCTGGTGCCCCGCGCGGCCGAGCCGGGCTACGTGGTGAGCAAGGTGGTGGCGGTGGACGGCGACTCGGGCCAGAACGCCTGGCTGTCGTACCAGCTGCTCAAGGCCACGGAGCCCGGGCTGTTCGGCGTGTGGGCGCACAACGGCGAGGTGCGCACGGCGCGGCCGCTGGGCGAGCGCGACGCGGCCCGGCACCGGCTGCTCGTGCTGGTCAAGGACAACGGCGAGCCGCCGCTGTCGGCCAGCGTCACGCTGCACGTGCTGCTGGTGGACGGCTTCTCGCAGCCCTTCCTGCCGCTGCCCGAGGCGGCGGCCGACGCGGCGCGGGCCGACCCGCTCACCGTCTACCTGGTCGTGGCGCTGGCGTCGGTGTCGTCGCTCTTCCTGTTCTCGGTGCTGGCGTTCGTGGCGGTGCGGCTGTGCAGGAGGCGCAGGGCCGGCTTGGCGGGTGGCTGCTCGGTCCCCGAGGCCCGCTTCCCGGGCCACCTGGTGGACGTCAGCGGCACGGGGACCCTGTCCCAGAGCTACCAGTATGAGGTGTGTCTAATGGGAGGCTCGGGGACCAGCGAGTTTAAGTTTCTGAAGCCTATTTTACCCATTTCCCAGGGCCATTACCCTGGGCCAGAAGTAGAAGAAACCCCCAATTTTAGGAATGACTTTTAGTATTCAGTGACATCAATTTTTTATCTTATTCCAAATACTTAAAATTATTAAGTTCAAGATGATGGTTTTTCTGGCTACCTATTATGAATTTTTAAATTACACTGAGCTTCCTTGCAAATTCTCTTATATTATTCCTTTGCTTTAAAGAATGGTATCTTATCTTTCCTTCATTACTTTAAAAGATGAATCGTCCTAAATCTTGCTTCTTAAGAGACTGGTGAAGTCAATAGTTGTACAAATCCTTGTTCTGGAATAGCTTACGAATGTCTTAGGGGAAAACAATGAAAAGCTAATTCTGTATAGTTGATTGTATTTTGTTGAGACTTTTAGTTGTTTATCAGTTTTTAAACTTAGAAGATATATAAAAGCAGTAATGCACTTGCACATGTAAGTATGTCTAACCAGGAAGGGAGGAGAACCTGTGCCATGAGAATTTGGCCCTTGCTTTATTCTGACCTCCTAGTACTTGTCTTTGATACTGTTTTCTTTTAAAATTTTATATTGATCATGCTTCTTTTCATTAATATATCAGTGTTAATTTTAACTTAATTATTTTAATTACTTTCCATTTAGTTTCACTGATGTTCAGAGGAGGGAAAAAGCTACACGGTGTTTATCTAGTAAGATGAAATAGCATAGCAGTTAAATTGATTTTCCCATTTGAGAAATATTGAGAATCTGTGACAGAAAAAATGCAGTGGCCATTCCATTATCCAGGTATCTTTCCTAGTTTCTAACAGGTCCTAAATTCCACTTAGGGCATTATGGTGCTTATTAAAAAAATACATTTTGCCAACCTCCTTGCCACCTAGAAAGGAGCATTTCACTAGGTTATAGTCAATGAGATGTATGTACAGATGTTGTAGAAGACTTCCAACACAGCTGTTTAAAAGAAGATGACTCATCTAGGAAGGGGTCCCTTTTTTATCCTTTCCTAACTAGTCCTTGTCATTTAGAATGTGTAAATCATGGTTGGAACACAATGAAACATGTTGGGCCATAAAGCAACAATAAGAATGGAAATAATGGATGGGGAGGGTCCATACAGCATAAACTTTAAGGATATGCACATCCCTGATGATCACAAAGCCATTATGTCATTCCTGGGTTGCCCCCCCCCTTTTTTTTTTTGAGAAATAAAGGTACTTCTGTTTCATTTAAGCTATCATCATTTAAAGCATCAATCCTAATGCTTTAACATTAAGGTTTTTCATTAAAATATCATGTAACAGCCTTGGCAGGTATGGCTCAGTGGATTGAGCACGAGAATGTGAACCAAAAGGTCTCTGGTTCGATTTCCAGTCAGGGCTCATTCCTGGGTTGCAGGCCAGGTCCCCAGCAGGGGGCGCTTGTGAGGCAACCACACACTGATGTTTCTCTCCTTCTCTTCCTCCCTTCCCCTCTCTGAAAAATAAATAAAATATTTTTTAAAATAAAATATTACATAATAAGCAAAAATGCATAGATCTTAAGTATAAAATGTGAGCTAACTGACCTGTTTTAAATTTTTATTTCTTGCTTTCTAATTTAGTCAAAAGTAGTGCACAGAGTGCTTTACATTAATTGTCTTTTTAATCCTCTGCCAAACCTTAAGAGAATTGGCATATTGTCCCCTCTTTTACATATAAGAAACTGAAGTCAAGAAAGGTTAAGTAAACTGCTCACAATTCTGAGTAATAGAAGGAAAATTTTGAAATATATTGTAAGTCTACTTGAATTGAGTGCCCCGGTTCTTAATCCATGTGCTATAATAGCAGATGTTAACTGGTAGCATTGTCTTCCTAACCAAGGAAATGAAATCCATCTACCCCATGAACAGGACTCCTATGTAGAAATGTAAATTTTGGTCTATAGTTTGTATTTGTTTTTAAACTAATGGCCACACCACTCTGGACCAATAAACTCAGAGTTCTTATAGAAGCACTTACTATCTCAACTAGCTAGGTCAGGGACCACAATTGATCTTCATTATAAACAAATCAGCCCAAATATCTTCCTGTACATTCTTCAACATACCATATTCATTATTGCAGAAATGAATGCCTGCATAGGGAGTAGAAATACCTATGGTTGTATCTCTTTAATTTCTTGTACTAGCCCTTCAGTGTTTTTCCAGCACCCTTAAAGTATATTTTTCACTTTTTTTTGAAAGTTGAAATTTGCTTTATTGTATACATCTTTGTAAGTTCCTTGTTCAAAGTAAATATACTGTATTCATTTTAGTGTACCATTTTTTTTAAAAGTAATTGTATTCTGGTATTAATCCTAAATGAAATAATTTCAGAAAAGTATAGGCAATGTTGTGAAGAAATTTTTTTCATTAAATAATTTAGATATTCTGGAAATTTAATAGGAAAAATGACAGGTTCCAATTATTTTCTGTTTAAGTTAACCACATGTATTTGGAAACTCTTCTGAAAAAGTATGCTGGAAAAATATGTCAGGGGGTTATAAACAGCTTTATTCTGAAAGAATTGTTTGCCAGAACTGAATCAGACATTCTTCAGCATTTGCTGTGATAACACTGTTCTTAAAGATTGATAAATTTTTGTTGACTCAGCTGCTGGGTGCATGAGAGTCTATGCTTGTGTTATGTATTAGGTCTCTATTGCTGCTATAAAAATTACCACGAATGTAGTTGTTTAAAACAATCAAATATATTACTTTATAGTTCTATAGATCAGATCTCAAATATGGGTGTTACTGGGCTAAAATCAAGGCATCAGCAGGAATGCATTCCTTTCTGGTGGCTCTAGAGGAGGGTCCATTTTTGTCTTTCCTAGTTTCCAGATGCTGGCTACCTTATTTAACTCATGGCCCCACTATTCCGTCTTCAAAGTCAGCCGCATTGTATCTCCTTTACTATTCTTTTGTAGTCATATTTCCCTGTGACAATAGCCTACTCCAATAATCCAGGATGATCTTCCCTTTATAAGGATTTCAACTTACTTATATTGGTGAAGTCTCTTTTGCTATGTATTATAACATATTTACAGATTTTGGGAATTAGGGTGTGCACATCTTTGGATGGGACAAGCCTACCACAGGTTGGCTGCTTGGAAGAAAATCACCCAGTCTAGTAGTACCACTTGTGGCCAAAGGAAGGAACATAAAGCTCTTTATACCAGGAGTTTAGGCCTCATTGATTACATGGTTTAATTCCAGATAAGGTAATTAACTAATTTTGGAAAATTATTAACAAAAACACTGAATGGATAAAGATATCATAAGTCTACACTGAAATGCAACTCAAATATTAGAAATGGAAAAACTGAACAAAAAAATATAAATCTGGTAAAGGACTTGTATCTGGAACATACAAAGAACTCCTAAAACTTGATTATAAAAGACAAATAACCCAGTTTAAAAATGGGTGAAGATGTGAAAAGACATCATTCCTCCAAGGAAGATATACATGGCCAATAAGCACATGAAAAAGATGTTTAACATTATCAATCATCAGAGAAATGCAAATCAACATCATCCACTAGGATGGCTGGGATCAAAATGTCAGACAACAGCATGTGTTGGGAGAATGAGGAAAAACTAAAATACTGATACACTGCTGGCGGGAATGTAAAATGGTGCAGCTGCTTTGGAAAACAATCTGACAGTTACTCAATTAAACATAGAAATATTATGCCCTGGCTGGTGTGGCTTTGTGGATTGAGCACCAACCTGTGAACCAAAAGATGAAAGATCACTGGTTTGATTCCCAGTCAATGAACAAGCCTGGGTTGAGGGCCAGGTCCCTGGTTGTGCCATAGGAGAAACAACTGATGATGTATCTCTCACACATTGATGTTTCTTTCCCTCTCTTTCTCCCTCCCTTCCCTTCTCTCTAAAAATAAATAAAATATTAAAAAATTAAATATACAGACAATGTAAGAGCTAGCCATTCTACTCCTAGAGAAATGAAAATATGCCCATTATATCAAATATGTCCATTCATTTGTATATGAATGTTTATAGCAGCATTATTCATAATTGTCAAAAGGAGGGAAAAACTCAAAAAGAGGAAAAAACCCAGAAGCATAAATAATCAAAATATGATGTATCTATACAGTGGAATATTGTCTCACCACAAAACAAATAAAGTACTGACAAATGCCATGATTCGGATGAACCTTGAAATCACGCTGAGTAAAAGAAGCCAGTCACAAAAGCCCACATATTATTTTATTCCATTCATGCAAAAATCCAGAAGAGGGAAGTCAGAAAGTAAATAAGCGGTTTATCAGGGCCTGCAGCAGGAGGGATGGGAGATAAGGAGATAAGGGGATAAGGGGATGACATAGCTGAAGAGTATGGGGTTTCTGATGTAATGAAATGTTCTAAAATTGTGGTGATGGATCCCTTATTCTGTGAATATATAAAAGCCACTGAATTATACACTATAAATGGTTTGCCTGTATAGTATGTAAGTTTTATTTCATTAAAGATGTTTTTAAAAGAATAAAACAAATTATTTGTGTCATGATAATTTAAAAAAAAGGATCTGAAAGCTTGGCAAGGCATAAAACCTTGAGACCTTCTTATTCAGAAAATAATTTTTCATTAATTTGAAAATTGCAAAATCTCACAGTTTTCAGATTTAGGTGTTGGAAAGAAGAAGTAATCTACTCTTTAACAAGGCATTGGTTCCACATTCTCTTTAGAACCATCACTGATTGCAATTTTGCAGTGTTCACTCATTGGTAATTCTATAATATTTACCATAAAAAATTTGTATTTGAAACTGTTCCAATGTTATTTTGAAAAAATTTGTCCCAAAATGTATGTCATTTTCAGCTTAATGTTAATTAAATTATTTTATTTAATCATCATTCAACAACTTTAAAGTTACATAAATGACAGTTTGCTCTTTGTACTTCTCCTGTGCAACAACACAGAGTTCTATCTGAATGCACAAAAACCACATGACACTAGAAATCAGTGTTTAATAGTACAGAGCACAATTTACTCAAGTTTTCTATACATTAGGAGAATTTTGTATCCAATATTAAACCAGAAAATGTAAGACTTAGTGAGAACGCATGGTGGCGCTGCAGGTTAAATGATGGAAAATAGAATTGCCTACGTAGCTCCGGTATCCAGGCAGTTTCACACTGCCTGGAAGCTAACGAATAGCTTTCTCAGCCAGAGCGAAAGTGAGTGTGAAACCTCTTTTAAAAACTCTATTTTCGGCATAGTTTTGCCATTCTGGAAGGCAGGACCGGGCTGCTAGGATCTTGGGTATACATACATGAAGCTCCTGTGAACCAAATTTTCAGGAAAGAGCAATGGAGATTGGATGGATGCGCAATCGGAGACAAAGGCAAGTCCTTATTTTCTTTGTTTTGCTGAGCATGTCTGGGGTGGGCGCCGATTTAGGGCCCTATTCAGTGGTGGAAGAAACAGAGAGAGGATTCTTTGTGGCAAATCTAGGAAAAGACCTGGGATTGGGGTTGGCGGAGATGTCCAGCCGCGGGGCCCGTATCATTTCTCAGGGGCGCAAAGAGCATTTGCAGCTCAAGGTTCAGACTGGAGATTTGCTCATAAATGAGAAACTAGACCGAGAGGAGCTATGCGGCTCCACTGAGACTTGCGTGCTACATTTCCAAGTGCTGATGGAAAATCCCTTGGAGATATTTCAGGCTGAGCTAAGGGTGAAAGACATAAATGACCATTCTCCCGTGTTCACTGAAAGAGAAATGATTCTAAAAATACCAGAAAACAGCCCCCTAGGAATGGCGTTCCCTCTGAATAATGCTGTGGACTTGGATGTAGGAAGCAACAATGTCCAAAACTATGAAATCAGCCCTAACCCCCATTTTCAAGTTCTAACCCACAATCTCAGCGATGGCAGAAAATACCCGGAGCTGGTGCTGGACAAAGAGCTGGATAGGGAGGCGGAGCCTGAAATCTCATTAACGCTTACAGCGCTGGACGGCGGCTCTCCGCCTCGGTATGGGACTGCCCGGGTGCGCATTGAAGTGGTGGACATCAACGATAACGCCCCTGAGTTTGAGCAGCCGCTCTACAAGGTGCAGATTCCTGAGAACAGCAACGTGGGCTCCCTGGTTGTCACCGTCTCTGCCAGCGATTTAGATAGCGGAGTCAATGGAAAAATAGTATACTCACTCTTTCGGCCTTCAGAAGATACTAGCAAAACTCTGGCAGTAAATCCTACGACAGGAGAAATTCGACTGAGAAGACAAGTAGATTTTGAGACAGTTCAGTCTTACGAAGTGGACATCAAGGCCACTGATGGGGGAGGTCTTTCAGGAAAATGCACTCTTTTCCTGCAGGTGGTGGATGTGAACGACAATGCCCCAGAAGTGACCATCTCTGCACTGACCAGCCCCATCCCAGAGAACTCGCTTGAGACTGTAGTCGCTGTTTTCAGTGTTTCAGATCCTGACTCCGGGGACAATGGGAAGACTATTTCTTCCATCCAGGATAACCTTCCCTTTCTTCTAAAACCTTCAGTCAAGAACTTTTACACCTTGGTAACGAAGAGAGCACTAGACAGAGAAGAAAGAGCCCAGTACAATATCACCATCACCGTCAGTGACATGGGAACCCCCAGGCTGAAAACCCAGCACAACATCACCGTGCAGGTGTCCGACGTCAACGACAACGCCCCCGCCTTCACCCAGACCGCCTACACCCTCTTCGTCCGCGAGAACAACAGCCCCGCCCTGCACATAGGCAGCGTCAGCGCCTCGGACAGAGACGCGGGCGCCAACGCCCAGGTCGCCTACTCGCTGCTGCCGCCCCGCGACCCCAGCCTGCCCCTGGCCTCGCTCGTGTCCATCAACGCGGACAACGGGCAGCTGTTCGCCCTGAGGGCGCTGGACTACGAGGCCCTGCAGGCGTTCGAGTTCGGCGTGGGCGCCACGGACCGCGGGTCGCCGGCGCTGAGCAGCCAGGCGCTGGTGCGCGTGCAGGTGCTGGACGCCAACGACAACGCGCCCTTCGTGCTGTACCCGCTGCAGAACGGCTCCGCGCCCTGCACCGAGCTGGTGCCCCGCGCGGCCGAGCCGGGCTACGTGGTGAGCAAGGTGGTGGCGGTGGACGGCGACTCGGGCCAGAACGCCTGGCTGTCGTACCAGCTGCTCAAGGCCACGGAGCCCGGGCTGTTCGGCGTGTGGGCGCACAACGGCGAGGTGCGCACGGCGCGGCCGCTGGGCGAGCGCGACGCGGCCCGGCACCGGCTGCTCGTGCTGGTCAAGGACAACGGCGAGCCGCCGCTGTCGGCCAGCGTCACGCTGCACGTGCTGCTGGTGGACGGCTTCTCGCAGCCCTTCCTGCCGCTGCCCGAGGCGGCGGCCGACGCGGCGCGGGCCGACCCGCTCACCGTCTACCTGGTCGTGGCGCTGGCGTCGGTGTCGTCGCTCTTCCTGTTCTCGGTGCTGGCGTTCGTGGCGGTGCGGCTGTGCAGGAGGCGCAGGGCCGGCTTGGCGGGTGGCTGCTCGGTTCCTGAGGCCCGCTTCCCGGGCCACCTGGTGGACGTCAGCGGCACGGGGACCCTGTCCCAGAGCTACCAGTATGAGGTGTGTCTGATGGGAGGTACTGGGACAGATGAATTTAAATTTCTGAAGCCGATTATTCCCAACCTTCCAGCTCCTGACACTGGTAGGAATGTAAAGGAAAGTGAGAACTTTAGGAATAGCTTTGGATTCAACATCCAATAAAAAATTATTTTAAGCATTTATTTAATCTTTTTTTATTCTTGGCAAACTGGGGACACTGAGCAGTTTTTCGTGGGAAATTCAGGTACCAGTCAGTTTAAGTTTCTAAAACTAGTTATCTCCCATCTCACATCTCAGAGCATGGGGAGTAAAGTGGAATAAAATCCCTTCTTTGGAATAGCTTTGGGATTTAATTATTGATAGGAACCTATTTAATAAAGACATTAACTTCTAATATATCTTGTCAACCAAACATGCCCACCACCAATAAGGGGCTGTTTTGTTTTTTCTATTCGGTTTATCCCCAATTTCCTATTTTATGCTTAACTTCAGAAGTTTCCTTTTTCTCACACTTCAGCCCAGTCAACAATTTCTCAATAGAATGCCAATGAATGAAGTAGGCTTTACCTCCACGATTAATATCATTAAATTTTTTCCACCCTATAAATATTCTTATTGACTTTCTATTTACATTTTCATTTTAGTCATCCCTTTTTCTAGGACTCCAATTATTAAAATAATCTGCTGCTTGTTATTTGTGTAGTTATTATCTGATACTCCTATTTTTTAATGATATTTTTATTGCTTTGTCAACCTCAGTTTTCATTATAGCAATTTTCTGAAACTGTTACTTTTTCCAAAAAATTTTTACTTTTCCTGTATTGGTATTTCCCTTTTTAATATATAATATTTCTGATTTGATGTGATAAATAATTATCTAATCAGCTTTATCTGAAAATAAGAATAGACAGCATTGTAGGACATCAAATGTATGCATATGTGTTTAAGTTTGGAGGCCAGAAAAGCAAAGTTTAGCCATTTTACAGCACCACATAGAAATATTTAATAATGTTTTGCTTTTAATCTGTATGAAAAATCAGAGATCCTTATTACTTTTTAATGGCTAATAATGCAGTCCCATTCAGTTGAACAAAACCCAGTAAAAATCATCAAACAGAGGTTTACATAATGTGGCTTTTATATTCAACAATTAGAGTGGGGTTTTTTTTTTGCAGTATCTAGTTCTTTCCCTGTATAATATACCTCAATTTATTCTGTATCTCTTACTCATAATGGAAAAAATAGAGCTTCTTTCTCCATACTAGGCCTTTGAATAAAATTCTATATGAAGCAGGTGTTATAATGCTGTTCTTACTTTCAGTGGTGTCAGAATTGCATAAGTGTGGTCTACTCTTTACCTCCCTTTCATTGGTGAATGAGAAATGAGATCCCACTAGATTTTAACTAAGAGGGACTTTAAAATAAAGGTCAATTCCTTCTTTAGTTCTGCAAGTAATTTTTAAGTTAATGTAAGAAAAACAAAGACATTGGAGAAGAGGAACAAAAGCTGCAAATAACGAGTGAGTGAAAGAATACAATTTTTAAATGGTAAGAATGTAAAGGCACTGAAAATTGTTTTTATCCTACTCGGATTTCATTACCCATGTCTGAATGCAGCAAGCATTTAGTGAGTGTCTGATTTGCCAGCCAAAGATGATGAAGTCATAGTTTCCATACTTAAGAAGGGACAGATTGGCATGAAACAGGAAACAATAATATTCATAGGGAAGTTGTACAAGCTTTTATGAAAGCACAGAGGAGGGAAAACTTAAATGCTTTCTTCTGGATTAGAGTGATGACTCTATTTAGGCAATGTAAGTAGGTTTTGAAGAAATTTGTTGAAGAAGGTAGGAAACAAGATTTTGTCAGTTCTTGGTGATCTTATCCACAATGTTTCTGGAAAAGGAAAACCTATTATTTGGGGTCTCAGAAGTCACCACAAATTTCCCTTCGGTTCCTGACATTGCATGGGGGTAGTTTCAGGTGTGGGGAAAAGCCTAATACAGAACCAAATATAGCACAATGAGGGGCACAGAGTTAACTGCTAGAAACATTCTTTTGGCAACTGTTGAATATTTTACTTTCCCCCATGAAGCAGTGAAAAAAAACTTAACAATGTGAACAGTTCTCTATCTCAACATTATATCTGTCAAAACAAAAGAAAAATGAAATATTTAAATAAGCCACTGAAGAAGAAATTTATAAATACACACACAAATTGGGTACAGCCATGTGAGTCTGTTGGAGGCCAGGCGGTGGCGCTGCAGGCTAAAGAGACAGAATAAAGAACTAAGCTGGGAACGCTGAAGTCACCAATAAAAAAAAAAGAACGAGGTGGGCCAGCTGAGAGAAAAGCCATAGCTGCTCAAGATTGCAGGAAAAACCCAGACCCCTGCTACTACGTGGTGTAGGTGTGGGGTTTGCAACTGCTATTTCTTTGTGCTGGGAGCTGTGACTGTGACCAATATTGACAAAAGACCTGTTCAGAAGAAGCTATGGAGGCTGGAGGATGGCGATGCCCAAGACAAAGGCAAGTCCTGTTTCTCTTTCTGTTTTGGAGAGTATCCTTGGCAAGATCTGGGTTTGGACGATATTCGGTGACAGAGGAAACAGAGAGAGGATCCTTTGTGGTCAATCTGGCAACAGACCTGGGACTAGGGGACCGGGAGCTGGTTGCTAGGGGAGCCCGGGTGGTTTTTGATGATAACAAACAACATTTGCTCCTGGATTCTCATACTGGGGATTTGCTCACAAATGAGAAACTGGATCGGGAGAAGCTGTGTGGCTCCATGGAGCCCTGTGTGCTGTATTTCCAAATTTTAATGGATAGCCCCTTTCAGATTTACCGGGCTGAGCTGAGGGTCAGGGACATAAATGATCATTCACCAGTGTTTCAGGACAAAGAAACAGTCTTAAAAATAGCAGAAAATACAGCTGAAGGGACAACATTTAGACTAGAAAGAGCGCAGGATTCAGATGGAGGACCTAATGGTATCCAAAACTACACCATCAACCCCAACCCTTTTTTCCATATTAAAATTAATGACAGTGATGGAGACATGATATATCCAGAGCTAGTTTTGGACAAGGCACTGGATAGGGAAAAGCAGCAAGAGCTCAGTTTAACACTGACTGCACTTGATGGTGGGTCTCCACCCAGGTCTGGGACCTGCACCATACGCGTTGTGATCCTGGATGTCAATGACAATGCCCCACAGTTTTCTCAGGCAATTTACCAGTTCCAGGTTCCAGAGAACAGCCTGGTAGGTTCCCTTATTGCTAAAGTCTCTGCAGCGGATATAGACTCTGGAGTTTATGCAGACATATCCTATTCATTTTTTGATGCTTCTGAAGATATTCGAACAACGTTTCAAATCAATCCTTTTTCTGGGGAAATCATCCTCAGAGTGTTGCTTGATTATGAGCTAGTAAAGTCTTACAACATCAACATCCAGGCAACCGATGGTGGGAGCCTTTCAGCAAGATGTATGGTTTTGGTTGATGTATTAGACACTAATGATAATCCCCCTGAACTGATCATGTCATCACTTTCTAACCACGTTCCTGAAAACTCTCCTGAGACAATACTGGCTGTTTTTAGGATAAAGGACAGAGATTCTGGAGAAAATGGAAAAATGGCTTGCTACATTCAAGATAATCTGCCATTCCTCCTGAGACCCTCTGTCGAGAATTTTTACATTCTAATGACAGAAGGAGCACTGGACAGAGAAAGCCAAGCAGAATACAACATCACCATCACCGTCAGTGACATGGGAACCCCCAGGCTGAAAACCCAGCACAACATCACCGTGCAGGTCTCCGACGTCAACGACAACGCCCCCGCCTTCACCCAGACCGCCTACACCCTCTTCGTCCGCGAGAACAACAGCCCCGCCCTGCACATAGGCAGCGTCAGCGCCTCGGACAGAGACGCGGGCGCCAACGCCCAGGTCGCCTACTCGCTGCTGCCGCCCCGCGACCCCAGCCTGCCCCTGGCCTCGCTCGTGTCCATCAACGCGGACAACGGGCAGCTGTTCGCCCTGAGGGCGCTGGACTACGAGGCCCTGCAGGCGTTCGAGTTCGGCGTGGGCGCCACGGACCGCGGGTCGCCGGCGCTGAGCAGCCAGGCGCTGGTGCGCGTGCAGGTGCTGGACGCCAACGACAACGCGCCCTTCGTGCTGTACCCGCTGCAGAACGGCTCCGCGCCCTGCACCGAGCTGGTGCCCCGCGCGGCCGAGCCGGGCTACGTGGTGAGCAAGGTGGTGGCGGTGGACGGCGACTCGGGCCAGAACGCCTGGCTGTCGTACCAGCTGCTCAAGGCCACGGAGCCCGGGCTGTTCGGCGTGTGGGCGCACAACGGCGAGGTGCGCACGGCGCGGCCGCTGGGCGAGCGCGACGCGGCCCGGCACCGGCTGCTCGTGCTGGTCAAGGACAACGGCGAGCCGCCGCTGTCGGCCAGCGTCACGCTGCACGTGCTGCTGGTGGACGGCTTCTCGCAGCCCTTCCTGCCGCTGCCCGAGGCGGCGGCCGACGCGGCGCGGGCCGACCCGCTCACCGTCTACCTGGTCGTGGCGCTGGCGTCGGTGTCGTCGCTCTTCCTGTTCTCGGTGCTGGCGTTCGTGGCGGTGCGGCTGTGCAGGAGGAGCAGGGCCGGCTTGGCGGGTGGCTGCTCGGTTCCCGAGGCCCGCTTTCCGGGCCACCTGGTGGACGTCAGCGGCACGGGGACCCTGTCCCAGAGCTACCAGTATGAGGTGTGTCTGACCGGAGGCTCAGGGACCACCAGCGAGTTCAAGTTCCTGAAGTCTGTTGCCTCCAAGCACCCGGGATCTATGAATGGTGTGGAGGAAAACCCAAATTTTGTAAACCGTTTTGGATTCAGTTAGGGATTTGTTAATTTTTCAGCGCATTCAAGATGAAGGTTAGTTCTTTCTAAATATACTATGTCTCCATTACCAATTTTTATCCTCATAGAATTTATTTGCTTTCATATTCTCAGTTAAGGAGATTAGAAACTTTAAGTACATACTTGTATTTATTCTCATCGGTTCTTTTAGATTAGGACAAAGAACTTACAACTTCATTAGTAAAAAGTCGTGAATATTCAATTTATCAACTTCTCATCATCAACCACTATTGATTTGGAGATAGTCCTAGCACCATACTCTGTTTGAATGTTGTCCAAAAACAATTTAAAAATTATAGATGTTGTGGTTTCTTAGGAGACAAGCATGATACAAATATAGTGAGCATTAGTCTATCTGCAATTTAATATATTTCTGCCTGCCTGTCTTAAGTTTCTAAATGGAGAAATGTCTGCAAAGATGCATGTTTTTTTCCACAGTGGTATTAAATAGAAAAACTACACTCTTCCACACTTGAAATATTTTCACCTCTTTACATCAACCTTCAGTGCATGATAGATATGAGTATTCTTTTTAATTAGATTTATTGGTGTGACATTGGTTAATAAGATTATATAATTTTGAGTGTACATTTCTTGATACATGATCTGTATTTTGCATTGTGTGCCTACCACCCAAAGTCAAATCATCTCCCAGTCACTATATTGAAAGTGTATTCGATTATTTGCAAATATTTATAATAATAGATCCCACCTATCTCTTTCTGTAAACTTCTCCCTTCAGTAGATGTCTACTGTCGCAGCCATGTTTATCTTAACAAACCATCTTTTTTTGTGATTTCAGACAGACAAGTAGTAGACATTGCTGACCTAAGCTGTGCCAATCTGTTTCTCTCTGTTTAAAAAAAAATGGCTTTAGAAACCAGATATAAAGTGGTCTCTTTGCTAGGAACTTAACAAGAAAACAATATCATGTTGGCTAAATACATGGAAAGAAGTATAGGAAATCAACCTACTTAGAGACAAGAAGGAAGGAGGTGCCCAGAGAGCAACCTCATTGTACATTGTTTAGTCTCTCCCAAGTGTGCTTTCTCCCTTGGGTTTTTGGAAGCAAGTGCTCTTTTAGTAAACTTTGCTCTAATTAAGGTAGCTAGGTGGGCTTTACACTTGTCAAAAGCATGTTTAGATATTCTTGTATGGCTGAAACTTACTATTATTTTGACATTTAAAAATTGTGGTCATCATCTAAATTTAACAATATTTGGGTCAAAAGATGTTGGAATATTAGTAGTCTGTAAGGGACAAGCACAAGCTTTTGTCAGGCTACATATTTTGAGACTTGACAGATATTTCCAAATTGTACAGTTTCTGGAGTGTTTATCAGAAATTCTTAGAAAATTCTATATTACAAATAGTTTTTAATATCATTAGTGTCACAATAGCATTAGTGTGAAATAACATGTTTGAAAGAAATGTATGCCTTATTTGTGGAATGACTATGGCCTAGCTGTGATGTTCTTTCTTTTTTTTATAAAGTATCCTTTTGTTTAGGGGGAGTCACGGTAGTTTGCCATTTGATGAAAAACATTTTAGATTATTCAGAATTATTTTAAGTTACTATTCAAAAGAACATAGAAAATAGCTACTTTAGAACATGGGGTCTCATCTAATAAACTCAGATGCCAGCTAAAAGAAGTGGGCTTTTATGTTAGGAGGAGAATTCACCTGTCAAAAAATTTTAATTAATTGTGATTTATCCATTGATCTATTCAACAAATAATCATTGAGCACCTACCTTGTGCCAGGAACTAGCTGTTTAGGGATCTCAAAGTGAACAAAACAAAGTACTGGAACTCAAATTTTACACAGAGAAGAAATAATTAAACATGTGCATATATGCTATATCTGATAGTAATCAATGCTAAAAAGAGCTATAGAAGTGCCCATGTGCATTTCCCCATAGTGTGAAAGCTTTATAAAATCATAATTCTCTGGTTTTGTAGAAAGGGTATGTAAACTGCAACCAATTAGTAACTTTTTCCTTGATGTGATTCAAACAATTAGAACCACAATTCTGGCACTAAGCTGCCTAAAAGGTGAAAGAAAATCTAGAGAAATTCATCCTTTGTTTTGCTGAGAGAATTTGAGGAAATCATACAGGTATACACTATTATTTTTACAAGACGACTGATCACTATTGAGTCTCCTTTCACCTCTCAGTTCTACTCAGAGCACCCTACCCAGGCTACAGGTTCTAGAAAATAGAAATTATGTATGTTTTTTTACTTATGTATTCAGCATCAGTACATAGATATCAACAATACAACTTTGAATGATGGAAGAAATAGTTTAAATTGCATGGATTTCTGATAATTTTACTATTCTCAAGACATTTCCAAACTCCCTATAGATTATTGGCATTACTAGATTATTACAAATACATGAGAATACAATTATAGGAATTCTTTTCAAAAGCAACGCATGGTGGCGCTGCAGGCTAAGGCGTGGGGAAAAGAAAAGGGGGAAAAAAAAGCCCAGGAAATTCAACTACCTCTACCTCAGATCTCTAGCGGAGGAGAAAAGCCTCTAAGCGGAGGAGAAGACCAGTAAGCCTCCAGGTTATGCTACTCAATGACATTTCCAGACAGATTACCAAGCGGGAGATTCATCGCTGTCTCAGTGCAATTGCTCCCTAACGCGGAGCTGGGCCCAGTTCCTGCAAAGGTGTCTGTGGAATAAAGATGGAGGCCGCAGGGGAGCGCTTTCCTAAACAAAGGCAAGTCGTGATTCTCTTTCTTTTGGTGGAAGTGGCTCTGGCTGGCTGGGAATCCCGTCGCTATTCCGTGATGGAGGAAACTGAGAGCGGCACGCTTGTGACCAACCTGGCCAAGGACCTGGGGCTGGGAGCGGGAGAGCTAGCGGCACGGGGAGCCCGGGTGGTCACTGAGGATAACGAACCCCGCTTACAGCTCGATCTGCAGACCGGGAACTTGACAGTAAATGAGAAACTGGACCGGGAGGGCATGTGTGGCCCCGCTGATCCATGTGTAATGCATTTCCAAGTGTTGCTGAAAAAACCTTTGGGAGTATTTCGAGCTGAGCTACTGGTGAGAGACATAAATGATCATTCTCCTGAGTTCCCTGAAAGAGAAATGACGCTGAAAATCCCAGAGACTAGCCTTCCTGGGACCGTGTTTCCCCCTGAAAAAAGCCCAAGACTTGGACGTGGGCAACAACAACGTCCAAAACTACAACATCAGTCCCAACTCTCATTTCCACGTTTCCATCCACAATCCAGCAGAGATGGCAGGAAATACCCCGAGCTGGTGCTGGACAAAGAGCTGGATCGCGAGGTGCAGGCTGAGCTCAGATTGACCCTCACAGCGCTGGACGGCGGTTCTCCACCCCGGTCTGGCACCGCCCGGGTCCACATCTTGGTCTTGGACGTCAATGACAATGCCCCTGAGTTTGCACAGAGGCTCTACCAAGTGCAGGTTCCAGAGAACAGCCCTGTAGGTTCCCTAGTTATCAAGGTTTCAGCTAGGGATTTAGACACGGGGACAAATGGAGAGATATCATACTCCCTTTCTTACAGTTCTCAGGAGATAAGCACAACTTTTGAAGTGAACAGCCTTTCAGGAGAAGTCCGACTAATCAAAGCACGTGGATTTTGAGACCATATCCTCCTATGAGCTGGATATAGATGCCTCTGATGGCGGAGGACTTTCTGGAAAATGCGCTGTCTCTATTGAGGTGGTGGATGTCAACGATAACTCCCCGGAACTGACTATTTCATCTCTTACCAGCCCCATTCCGGAAAATTCCCCAGAGACAGAAGTGGCCCTGTTTCGGATTCGAGACCGAGACTCGGGGAACAACGGAAGGATGACTTGCTCCATCCAGGATGATCTTCCCTTCCTCCTGAAACCAACAGAAGAGAATTTCTACACCCTAGTTACAAATGGGGCTCTGGACCGAGAGACCACAGCGGAGTACAACATCACCATCACCGTCACCGACATGGGGACCCCAAGTCTGAAAACGGAGCACAACATCACCGTGCTGGTCTCCGACGTCAACGACAACGCCCCCGCCTTCACCCAGACCGCCTACACCCTCTTCGTCCGCGAGAACAACAGCCCCGCCCTGCACATAGGCAGCGTCAGCGCCTCGGACAGAGACGCGGGCGCCAACGCCCAGGTCGCCTACTCGCTGCTGCCGCCCCGCGACCCCAGCCTGCCCCTGGCCTCGCTCGTGTCCATCAACGCGGACAACGGGCAGCTGTTCGCCCTGAGGGCGCTGGACTACGAGGCCCTGCAGGCGTTCGAGTTCGGCGTGGGCGCCACGGACCGCGGGTCGCCGGCGCTGAGCAGCCAGGCGCTGGTGCGCGTGCAGGTGCTGGACGCCAACGACAACGCGCCCTTCGTGCTGTACCCGCTGCAGAACGGCTCCGCGCCCTGCACCGAGCTGGTGCCCCGCGCGGCCGAGCCGGGCTACGTGGTGAGCAAGGTGGTGGCGGTGGACGGCGACTCGGGCCAGAACGCCTGGCTGTCGTACCAGCTGCTCAAGGCCACGGAGCCCGGGCTGTTCGGCGTGTGGGCGCACAACGGCGAGGTGCGCACGGCGCGGCCGCTGGGCGAGCGCGACGCGGCCCGGCACCGGCTGCTCGTGCTGGTCAAGGACAACGGCGAGCCGCCGCTGTCGGCCAGCGTCACGCTGCACGTGCTGCTGGTGGACGGCTTCTCGCAGCCCTTCCTGCCGCTGCCCGAGGCGGCGGCCGACGCGGCGCGGGCCGACCCGCTCACCGTCTACCTGGTCGTGGCGCTGGCGTCGGTGTCGTCGCTCTTCCTGTTCTCGGTGCTGGCGTTCGTGGCGGTGCGGCTGTGCAGGAGGAGCAGGGCCGGCTTGGCGGGTGGCTGCTCGGTCCCCGAGGGCCGCTTTCCGGGCCACCTGGTGGATGTCACGGGTACGGGGACCCTGTCCCAGAGCTACCAGTATGAGGTATGTCTAACGGGAGGCTCAGGGACCAGCGAATTCAAGTTTTTGAAACCGATTCTCCTCAATAATCAGGAACAGGGCCTTGAGAGGAATACTGAAGTAACCCCTGCCTTTCAAAATAGCTTTGGGTTTAATATTCAGTAAAAATTATTATTTTCATGTACTTTTGAAGTACTTTATGACCATATAAATATTAGTTTACTTTAAAATGCCACGTTAAATTATTATGCCCAATTTTAAAGCTCTATATATGTATGTTTTTGCTCTGTTACTTTATCTTTTTTGCATCAATCAACAGTTAGCTTAATACCCATTTCTAAATAGTTGTTTTAAGGTTTAGTTCTTTCAAAATATACAATGACTTGGTCATTATTTTTTCTTATTCTAGAATACTAAGGATTTGATTTTTTGGTAGTATATTTCACAGACTGTAACTCATTATTCTATCCGGCCATCTCTTGTACTTCGTCCATGTTAGAAGACATACGTGCAATTCCGATCTTATTCTATCATAATGTTTAACCATTAGAAATCCATGTGATCTAGTTTTAAATCATAGCATTAAAAGGAAATATTTCTCTATTATTCTGTTCATGATAAAATAAAACATCATTTTATGAGTGATATTAGGCTCCAGTAATATTCTTGTTTATATTATTATTTTATTTCCTTTAAATACTTTTACTCGGTATTTTCTAATGTTTACCTTTACTAATATGTAAAACAGAACATGTTTTGCAATTAATACAAAGTGTAATAACATGCATGAATATGATCATTACTGAAATCATTTTGGAATTTTGAATTTGAAAATATTGGTGGACTTTGGAAAGATAATTACTTTTCATTTGTTTTGTAAATTTAATTACTGTCATATTTAAAAATCACGATGTACTAAAATCATAAAGAAAAACAATAGATTTTTTTGGTCTCCAAACACTTTCTTTGAGTGGTTCATCTATAATTAATCTCAGTATTTCAAAATTATATGTTTATATTGCTCTATTGTGACACTCAGTTTTAGATGTACTTTAATCATCTCTTCCTATGACAAAAAAATTTAACTTTTTTACTTTCCAAGTGACCAATACACATACAGACATTGCAAATTTTCTTTCTCCTGTTCTTCCAATAGAGTTGCCATATGGATTTTTTTTAGTTAAAGTGGTAGTTTTTGTCTATATAGCTAAGATTATTTCAAAATTCATGTGGGTGTAGTATGATTACATTTACTTTCTTGAAAAACTTATTTTCTAGAGCTGATAATTGTTGTTTATACATGCATAACTTTCTACTTCTATTCATTTTCATTTTATTTCTCATTTGAATATTAATATTTCTCCTTAAATATTTGAGTTCACCAGCTATTTATTAATTATATTTATTTCTTTGATATCTTTCACCCAGGTCCCTCCATATCTCCACTGCATTTACACTGGTTGTTCTATAAGCTGTCATCCTATGGCTTTTTTTCTTTCAATACTTTTCTGTATTGATCCCTTTTTACAAAATCCAGTGTACTCTTTATTCTTAGTTCACTCCCTTATTTAGCTGACACTCATCTCTCAATAGCTTTATAAAAATTGATGTAGAGACCTTGACTTCTGAAGGTATTGTCATTTTCTTTTCATTTGATTGATAGTTTGACTGGGTATAAAATTTCAGGTTGAAAATAATTTTCCCTCAGATTTTGAATGCACTATTCCTTCTATTGATTTCATATAGGGTTGCTGTTATTTTGTTTCCATTCTGATTTGTATCTCTCTTAATGTCAACCCATTTTTTTCACTGGGGGTGCATTAGAAACTTTCCCTTTGATTTCTGAAATACCTTAGTGTCAGCTATTTACTTATTAATGTGGTCACATGGATGTACCCTGTTAATGTTTAGAAATTTACTCAGTTCTGAGAAATTTTCTCATTACATGTTCTTCATAATTTCCCTCTTAAATTTTCTGCATTCTCACTTTAACCAGAATCTCTTTAGTTAAATAATAGATCTCCTGGATTAAATCTCTCATACTCTATTTTTCCCTTTCTTATTTTTCCTTTCTCTCTTGCTCTGCTTTTTGGACAATTGTTTTATCATTTGAGGGGGCTTACACATAATTTTGAGAGCTCTTTTTTGTGTTCTGAGTGTTTTTACAGTATCCTGTTATAGATTTGTAAATATATCTTTTCTCATCTATAATTAATCTAGTTATACTTTTTAAATGCACTATGAAAAAATGCATTATTCTGTAAAAACTATTATACCTATTTTAAAAATGGAAGCATCACAGAAAATTTAGGAATTTACCAAAGATTATAATGTTAGAAAAGGGCACTTAAGCCTTAATCTATTCTTTATCTTACAATAAGTTTATATACTTCATACAATTACTGTTAAGATTAAATGACATATATATGGCATTTAAAATAATGAGTAACACAAAATAAATACTCAATAAGTATTTAATCTTATTAGATTTTACTACTCTAGGGATATTAGTCAGACATTTTAAAAACCTTTCTTCTGTTTATTATGTCTGTTTCCTGCTGTCTTTTTTTTTTTTTGGTGGTGTTTTTGGCCTTTTTATGTCACATTGTAGGCACTTCCTCAAATGTTTTGTAGTCCTTGTCTCCCTTCTCATATTTGAAAGTGACAAAATAGCATAATGCTGACAGTCAGCTTTTTGTGAGTATATGAGGCCTGTTGATGACAGGGCTTTGCTCTAATATAACCATGTAGGATAGGGCTATTAACCTTGAGGGGCCCTCAAATATCAGTATGTGTAAGTTTTTATCTGAGTCTTTCATATTCTCCAGGTTAGAATTCTGCAATATCTTCTGTGTAAGAGGGAGTTAGGAAGGGAATCAGGCATATACTTTGTGTACTACAATTAGAGAGTATTGTATAAAAAAAGGGCTAGAAATCTCACCATTTAGCATATAGTTTTACTTAATCTTTCTGTTTTTACTTTCGCACCTCACACTTGCACTCATCGCTGCCTAAGGTCATCCAAAATAGACATAACTCTTTTTAATTTCTCCTTTGAATAGATTTTCAATTCTCTGGCCCTGAGTTTCTTTTCAGTCTATGTAGGATGAGAGGATCAGTAAATTCAACTCTGCTAAAATGTGCATCCCACTAACAACTTATTTTTAGTCCTCAACTGACTTCAGTCTCCTTATGCACTTGGTTCCTTCCAATCTTGTACTTAAATGAGGCTATGTAAGACAAATTCACTAGTTTTTTTTTGTGTGAATATCTCCAAAGAAAGATCTTTACTTTAGACATCTCTTGGAACTGCTAACCCAGCTGACCCTACATCTGCTCTTTGTCATGAAATATAAATGTGTTCACTTGACATTCTTAGTCTTTTGAATTTATACCATTTTTATTTCTTGTCATTTTAATAGATATTTTATAAGAAAGGATAATAACTGTGTGTAGTCAATCTACCTATTTTTTAGTTTCTACCCTCTTGTAGTGATTGATTTTTTTCAACCATAAGCTAACTTACATTTTTAAGAATGTAATTTGTACTTAACATGTTAAAAATGCAAACCTATTAGATAGATCTCTTCCATCCATTCTCAAGAGCACTTCTGAGACCTCCTATAATGCACATCATTGATGAGCTTCTGGCATCTATTCCAAACAGTCTCTCTCATTATGTAGCAACCATGCCCTTCAGCTAGCCAAAGGTGGTCAGAGACAGGATTAAAACAAAGCAAAAACCAAAGATAGGTCTTCAGATTCTGAGATGACTAAAATCTTCACCTATACTTCTATACCTTTTGAAGGAATGATTACTTCAGTAGCAGGTATATGATCTTAGCTGTCCTAATCAGAGTAAAACTAAGTTTTTGGTCTATGATTGGTAAAGAGAATCTCTCATCTCTCACTCTTTTCTGGGCTGAAAGAAAAAGCAGATGACCATAGTTGTAGCCAGAATAAATCTTGGGAACTTGAGGAAAACCAATTTTAGGAGTAATCCTGCTTCAAATAAAGCCATTGTGTTTGTGTTTGTGTATTTATTAATCTTTTGTAAGTTGTGAGAAATTAGAACTAAATTATAGGCTTACATGATGCATTCCACCCCAATAGATTTTACTTCATTTTCTTCCATTTCACAGATCATTGATATCAAGGAAATCTACTGAAATGGCTTCCTGTGCTACAACCACTGTCTATATGTGTTCCTTCTCATGGCTAATCCAGTTTCCTATCCTCTGAGGGAACTTCTGCAATGACTCATGTGCACTTTCCCTTTTCCTTACCACCTAAAGAAGGCCAAGTAGTGATGGGGTGTTGCTTAGTTTAACAGGCACTTACACTCTCCTTGTTTCAGGCTTTCAATCTTCTCAGGAAAATTACAAGGTCCTGGGGACCATGAATTTTATTTTGTATTTTGTTATTCACCATAACTCAGCACTTTCAGGTGTTGGAAGAGTGGTGGGGGGGGGGCATTTATATACTTTAAAACAAATACAGCATCACAAACTTCAAAAAGTATAAATCAATTCTTATGGAAGATAGAATGTATTTGTAATCACTTAAACACAATGAATAAAGCATCTGTTTCTAGAGGACATTTATGTGAATGGAATTTAAGTAGTTTTCATCAAACACTGAAACCCTGTGGAAACGCATGGTGGCGCTGCAGGATAACATCGTGGGGGAAAACTACACCGGATGACATTTTGGACACTTACCCAGTGCACACAGAGCGCTGGGAAGACAGAACAAGCTTTAAAGAGGCAAACTAGAAGCTATTCAAAGGGGGTCAAAATCTTTAGGCCTCCAAAGATTCGGTGGACAGCTGAGACACGTTTGCCACAGCTCCAAAGTGGAGCCTAAGGGATTCTGCAGGAAACCTTGGGAAAAGGAGCTATGGAGAACGGAGGCGCAGGGACTCTGCGGATCAGGCAAGTCCTCCTCCTTTTTGTTTTGCTGGGAATGTCTCAAGCGGGATCTGAGTCTGAGCGCTTTTCTGTGGCAGAGGATATGCAGAGCGGGAGCTTTGTAGGCAATTTGGCAAAGAACCTGGGACTGGAAGTGGGTGAGCTGTTCTCAAGGGGGGCTCAGGTGGTCTCTAATGATAACAAACACCCTTTGCAGCTGGACTTAAACACCGGGGATTTGCTCTTAAGTGAAGC